TTATGTATGTATTTGCCAAACACCCAGCCTTGTGCGAGGTGCTGCTGTGACGGGGAGCATTACTCAACACAGCCCGCTGACCTTGGGGGTGCAGTTTGGGTTTGTGGGGAAAGCAGTTACCGTCAGGAGGGCTTTACGGACCCCTGGGCTTTACGGACCCCTGTGTGTCTCATGACACACTGTGTGTCTCATGAGGCACTGACGCTTGGATAAATACATGTTGGATGGATGCAGGATGAGTGAGCATTCTAGAAGTCTGCAAAGGTACAGAAATGGCCCTGCTCCCTGTCCGGCAGCCAATCATCAGCTTTTCCTGGCTTCTCCGAGGCACCCTGCCGTTCACACTCCAAACAAAGGCTTCTCTCAGGAATCTCAGTGAGCTGCAGTCTGGGCTCTGCTCCGTGACTGGGCTGCTCTCTTCCCGCTTTAGGCCAGTGCTGGGGAGAGGAGACCCCTGTGACTCTCCCCGGTGCCCTTGGAGCTCAGAATGAAGTGACGGGGGAGGAGGGCACGAGCCCTGAAGCGCTGGGAAGACAGGCTGTGGGCCACAGGTCCCGACCCCGCCTGGGACAAGGTTCAACAGAAGTAGGATGGTTTCATCATGACCTGGCAGGAAAACCACCAGACCTGGAATTTTGCTTTTACAGCTGGTTAACTTCTCTGCTGTTTAACTTCTGTTTCATGCAGGATGAAAACCGGTGAATTATAATCTCACATCACCGAGCAAGATCTAGTAGTCATAAGCATTCTGTCAGCAAAGCAGACAAGGCAGAGTGTTGGAAATGTCATCGGATCTTCACAGAACCTTAGCCGAGCAACCTTTCCATGCGAGAAACAAAATAACGTGGATTTTTATCTAGTAATGAAGTCAACACCATTGTCCACTCTGTTAACACAGTCACGTTTCAGAGTTCCCTCCCTGGGGCTGCAGACACTCATGTGAGAGAGACTTGGAACGGCCTGCCTTTTTAAATTTAATTAAAATTAAATAAAATAGAAAATTCAGTTCATCAGTTGTTCTGGTGACATTTTAAGGGTTTAGTACCATATGTGGCTCGTAAGTACCGTCCTGGACAGTGTCGACCGAGAACAGTTCCATCCCTGCGGAGAGTTCTGTGTGACGGCACCGCTCTGCGCTCCCAGCAGCCTGGGGAGCGGGGGTGCGGGAGACAGTTCCGTCCATCTCACAGACTTGGTCACACAGTACAGATTTGACAGCAATTAAATACGACCGCAAACTGTCAGTGGCGTGTTCTGTGGAATGCTGGGATGGATCAGAGGTGTGTTGGAAGATGGATAGAATTTTACTTTCTTCTGTTACTCTGGTAACTCAGAGTCCTGTTCAATCAGTTTCCGCATCAGGATGCTGTCCTCGTGGTTTTAAAGAGGACGAATGCAGCCAGCGTTGAATCGAGGCGGTGATTCCACTCACCTGGCCCTCCAGAGCCCCAGGGTCTTGAGTGCATGGGCTGGTACAGGAGCCCGGTTTTTGACTCGGGGGGCACTTCCTATGGGAGGAGGACCCCTGTCTCGGTGCTGAGGCAACCACCACTGAGGACCCTGGACTGGAAGCTGGGCTGAGATGTCTGGTGATAGGTTCTGAGGCAAGACAGGGACTGACTCAAAGGGATATGGACGGCAGGCTGGATTCATGTTGCGCCTGCACCTCCGGCTCTGCTGAGGACACTCAGAACTGCGGCCCTGGCCACACCTCAGCTCCCCATTCCATCCAAGTGTGGGTGGGAGAGTGGGGCTGACAGTGGTCCCGAAGCTCCTAGGGTCCAGCCCACAACTGAGGAAGCCACACGGCTGGTTGTGTATGAGCCGGAGTGTCTCTGTCTAATTAAAAGTGCCTATCTGCCTGTGGGTCGTTGCTGGTGTGTGTGCTTCTGTCCCCGCCTCCTGGCCTCCTGGCTGAGGGGAAGCTGAGTGGGCCACGGCCCATGTGTCTCACTTGCCTCGGCTCCCACGCAGCTGCCTTTGCTCCAGCTCCAGCTAGGATGTGGCTCGTTCACACGCTGCTCTGCATGGCCAGTAAGTCCTTACCCGCTGCCTTGAGGGGCTGTGGTGCCCTCAGCTCCAGCCAGATGTCTGCAGACCACAGCCTTGACTGTCTGTCTGTCTGATGGGGCTCAGTTCGAGCCAGAGGTTAGGGTGGGAGCTCCTCCAGGAGAGCGGTCTTGCTGGGTGGGTCAGGTGCCCAGGCTTGTTGGGAAGGGCGGCAGATGCTTTGTGTTGACAGTTCTAACAGCCAGGGCCTTCAGACTTCAGGGCTCTGCCACTCGGTTCCTTCTCCAGCCAGCCTCCCCCGACCACCGAAGCCCCTCTCCCCGTGGCACCCACTTGGGGCAGGTGCTTGCCTTTGTAGTTTGTTCTTTGAGTATGGAGGCTCCACCTGGCAGAGCTCCGTTCTGTGACAGAGCAGGGGTTGGGCTGATGAGGGTGAGGACCCTGTGAGAGAGAGTGTCGACGAGAGACCGGGGGCAAGTGTCTGTATGTAGAGGGCGAGCGTGTTGGCGGGGAGCCTGCTTCCTGTGTTGTCGGGCCAGGGCGAAAACTGGTATGTGGGGTGGGGGAGGCACTTCTGCTGCTGGGAGGGTCCCGTTTTAGTAACTGTCCCATGGAAGCCTCTGGGCAAAAGCCAAGCCACAGTCCTTTCGTGGGCCCCCAGGGATGAGACAGCACAGTCAGGTGAGCCCCTGGAGGCCGCTAAGACCAGGCGGGAGGCCAGGGTGGTCCTGCCTGGTGATCTGGGCGGACTTCCCGTGGATCTCCTGCCCCCGCTCAGGAGGTTGTCGGGAGAATTGGATTAGCATCCCCCATGGGGCCAGATCACCCAGGAAGCAGGCCACAATGTGTAGGGTACCAGCAAGTCACGGTTTTGGACAGATTTTAATATTTTATATTCATTTTATTTTTTGAGACAGAGTCTTGCTCTGTTGTCCCAGCTGGAGCCCAGGCTGGATCTTGGCTCACTGCAACCTCTGCCTCCCAGGTTCAAGCAATTCTCCTGTCTCAGCCTCCGGAGTAGCTGGGATTACAGGTTTGCGCCACCACGCCCGGCTAATTTTTGTACTTTTAGTAGAGACGGGGTTTCACCATGTTGACCAGGCTGGTCTCAAACTCGTGACCTCAGGTGATCGACCTGCCTCGGCCTCCCAAAGTGTTGGGATTACAGGCATGAGCCACCATGCCCAGCCTAATATTTTATATTTCAAAAACATCAGAATAGTCACCATGGAAAGATCGACAGTTTGTTGAACTTCCTTTTATTTTACAATTTAGACTTCTCTGTTTTTAGTTCCTTGTGGGGTGTAGGGAGTCTGTTTTTATGGCTTGTGGCTTTGATCTCCCATTACCGAGAATACCTGGAGCAGATGCTTAGACTAGACTGTTGTCTACCCTCTCCCAGTACAGAGGAGGTGACTGGGTCACAGAGGGAACAGTGACTACCCAGGCTTGCAAGCAACTGACAGTAGACACGGGGCTCAGGCCCAGGCCTCTGTCCTGCCTCCCAGCTCCAGAATCCTCCTGTGGCTCATCTGTCTCCTGCAGCCTCTGGGGCCACCACTCATCACCTCAGTGCCTCTTCCCGCAGATGGCATTGATCAAACCTCCTCGGAGGCCTAGGCCCTTCCCGAGCTGATGGGCAGCAGAGAGCAATGATGGAGCAGACTTGCCATGAGACCACTTAGCCCACAGCTGAGCTCAGCCATGGGAAGGGGTTGAGAGCAGGGCCCCGGCAGCTCCAGTGTGGGTGGCAGAAACGAAGCTGCTGCAGTTCTGCTCCACGCTGTGAGGTCCTGAGACTGGGACGGACCAGTCCGGGAGAGTTTCCTGGAGAAGGTGAGGTGGCGTTGAGTCTTGGGGGCTGAGGAGAGCCTGAGAAAGAAAATGTCCAGGAGTTGCTGGGAGGAAAGACTCCTCAGACTGTGGCCCCAGGCCCAGCACCCTGGATCCCATGCCGGGCCGGGCCTCCTTAGGCTGGAGAGAATCCAGGACTGGCCTGGCGCTGACCTTCCACCCTCTCCAGGCCACCCACTCTGGTGATGCCTACTTCTTGTTATTCGTGAGAGCAGATGGAATAATAGCAATTATCTAAGGGAGATTTTAGAAGAGTCGGGTGCAGACAGACCCTGAAATCCTGGAACTGCCCACAGCCTGACCACCAGCCCCATCATGCCCTGTTACCCTGTGACCTGCCGTCCCCAAGTCCGTCTTCACCCCTGACTCATTCTGCAATCACAACATCAACTCACTTCTCCATCCTGGGTCTCAGAGGTTGGGTTTCCACCCTTGCACCCTTGCGTGAAGAGGCCTGTCCTGTCAGCCTCCAAAGCCTTACAGGGGTGAAGAAGAAGGAACCAGAAGTCCAGGGCCCACTCTGCTGGTGGCACGCACTCGGGCTGAGGCCCGGGGCTCTGCCGGGGCATCACCCCAGGCCTGTGCGTGATAGAAAACCTCCGTTCTTGGGGAGTGGGAGGCTGTGGCATCTGAGGTGGGATCTGAAGGATGGGGAGGTCCTTGGCAAGTACAGGCTGGGGGTGAGCAGAGGGGCCTTCTCTGCAGGGGGAATAGGAGGCACCAAGCCCTGGGGTGTGAGGAGTCTGGTTGGTAGGAAGATGGAGGCGAAGCGTGAGTGGGAGTGGAAGGCCGTCTCCTCTGGTGTTGCTTCCCCTTCCAGCCCCACCCCAAATCGGGACCTACTGGGGCCTGGAGGTGGGGGCAGAGGCAAGGCCACCCCTGTCCTGGCCCCCTGTGTGAAGAGAAGGCAGGCTGTGCACACAGTAGCCTCTCCAGCCCCAGCAGCGTCTCACAACACGGGGGTAGGGAAAGGGCACTCCCGGCCGAGGGGCGGCCCAAGCAAAGGTGAAACGCCAGCAGAGTGCAGTGTGTGTGGGAGAGCTGGCTGGGGGAGTGTGGGCTGTGTGGGAGCCCCACATCCCTGCCTGTCTCTGGGAGGTCCCCTTGCGTGGGGCAGGTGTGGTGTGAGTGGAGGAATGCGGGAATCCAAGCCCGAGAGGCCCACAGTGGAGGGTGAGGAATGTGGGGACCTGAGTGCCGGCCTGGGGGAGCTTGGAATTCCTGCTGAGGGCAGTGGGGAGCCACAGGTCTTGAGCGGGTTGTCGACAGACTTGTATGTTGAGTGTTAGTTGGAATCTGGGGGAGAGGGGAGGCAGAGAGGCTCGTAAGGAGGCTTCTGCCTTGGTCCCATACACAGGTGCTGGGGAAGGCAGACGGGAGGAGGAGACACTCATGAGAAACGTTTAGTTTCCTGGCCGGGCGCGGTGGCTCACACCTGTAATCCCAGCACTTTGGAAGGCCAAGGTGGGCAGATCACTTGTGATCAGGAGTTCAAGACCAGCCTGGCCAACATGGTGAAACCCTATCTCTACTAAAAATACAAAAATTAGCCAGGCATGGTGGTGCGTACCTGTAATCCCAGCTACTTGGGAGGCTGAGGCAAGAGAATCCCTCGAACCCAGGAGTCGGAGGTTGCAGTGAGCTGAGATTGTGCCGCTGCACTCCAACCTAGAAGACAGAGAGAGACAACGTTTCAGAAAAAAAATAGAGGCCGGGTGCAGTGGCTCATGCCTGTAATCCCAGCGCTTTCGGAGGCCGAGGTGGGCAGATCACAAGGTCAGGAAATCGAGACCATCCTGGCTAACACAGTGAAACTCCGTCTCTACTAAAAATACAAAAAATTAGCTGGGCGTGGTGGCAGGTGCCTGTAGTCCCAGCTACTCGAGAGACTGAGGCAGGAGAATTACTTGAATCTGGGAGGTGGAGGTTGCAGTGAGCTGAGATGGCGCCACTGCACTCCAGCCTGGGTGACAGAGCGAGACTCCATCTCGGGGAAAAAAAAAAAAAAAAAAAGGAAAAGAAAAGAAATGTTTAGTTTCCAGCACACAGTAGTGCTCAAGGCCTGTTGGCCGTTCTTGTTATTAGAGAGATGAAAGGTGAGGGAGAGAGATGGGCTCAGCTGACTGTGAGGTTCGGGGTGGAGTTGATGAGGCTCCGTGTAGAGGATTGAGGTGGGGGGACCGTGGCTGGGTGGTCCGGCGCAGGCACGCTGCAGATGGCTCTGAGGCACAGCCCTCCCATGAGGTCCGGCTGGGTGTTCTGGGCTGGGTGTCAGGACCCCTGCATCTAGTCCCACTTCTGCAGCTCCTGCTATCAATGTGGGTGAATCATGCCCTCATGAGCCTCAGTTTCCTAAATTGGGAATAGTGGTACTTATTGTACTGTGAGAATGCGTGTGTAAATTGCCCAGTGTGCTGGGGGAGACAGAGGGTTGAGGGGAGACAGTGGTGGCTGACAGGATGGAGGGGGATCTCGGTCTGACTCAGCAGGCCTCTGTGGCTGGGGACAGCTCAGAGAGGTGGTCCTGTGGGTAGTGCGGTGACAGACACCGGTGGAGCTGTGTCTGTAAGTCTGCAGCATGCGACGGGGGCTTGAGGGGGAGGGCCAGCCCTCGCCTGTGGTTGTGACTCTCCCCAACCTCAGCCTCCACGTGCTGAGCCTCCTGCGTCAGACCTGGGGATGGGTGTTGCCCCATTGGATCTGCACAACCCCGTGTCCCAGAGGGGAGACGGAAGGGAGGTGCCAGCGTCCTTCCGTGACTCCGAGGCAGTGAGGATTTGAACTCAAGACCCTCTACCAAGACGATGCTGTTTTCTGAGTCCTGGTGGGAAATGCAACAGGAGGTGGTTTCCTGATGGAGGCGCAGCTCGAAGGCTAACTGTCGGGCCTGAGGCGTGTCCAGTCCGAGGAAACAAGCTGAGCCAGGCCTGGTAGACCTGGGCACCAGCTGACTCTCAGGGAAAGCCCAGCAAATACAGCGACCTCCCCCACCACACACACACACACACACACACACACACACGGATGTACACACACACGCAAGCACACACACACAGATGCACTCACACATGAATGCACACTACACGCACACATGGATACACACACAGATGCACACACACATGCACAGATGCATACACGCACGCACGGGCACACGGATGCACACACGCACACACAGATACACACAGATGCACGCACACACACAGATGCACACATGCACGCACACACACACGGATACACGCACACGGTTACACACACGCACACACAGATACACAGATACAGATGCACACACATGCACGCACACACACATGCACATGCACGCACACACGGATGCACACACATGGATGCATGCAGACATGCACACACGGATGCACACACACATACGGATGCACACACAGATGCACACATGCAGATGCACACACAGATGCACACGCACACGGATGCACACACAGATGCATGCACACGGATGCACACACGCACACATGGATGTACACACGGATGCACACATATGGATGGATGCACACATGGATGCACACACGTACACGGATGCACACACACATGCATACGCGGATGCACACGCGGATGCACACACGTGCGCATACACACACACGTACACAGTTTCTCATGCCACCGTGCCCCCGCAGCAGGCTCTTGCTGACCTAGTTACCAGCCCTCTAAGCAGAGCTCTGCTGCAGCTCAGTGAGCCGCCAGCACAGCAGGAGCAGTGCCCAGCTTCTTGAGGCCATTCGTGACCCTGCCCTCTCTCTGATTACCAACCGCTCAGTGCCTCCAGCTTTTACTAAAGGCTTTGGAATCGGGCACACACACGGAATCTGAGCCCCAGACACAAATATTCACTCTTCCGATGGGCCGTGTGCAAACCACACCCCTCTCTGAGCCCAGCACCTAGCGCGGTGCCTGGAAGGCAACAGGTACTCTGGGGGAGCAGAACCCTCTGTGGAACAAGAGAGTGAACACGGGGGTGGGGTGGCGCGAGGAAAGGGAATATCTGGCCCACTCTGACATTTTTAGGGCGCCTCTTTTGGGCCTGGCCCTGTGCTGAGCTGGGCTCTGTGGCTGGGGGTGTTGTGTGTGACTCAGATCACATCACGGTTCGGGGGAGAGAGACTGAATCACAGATCACCCTGATCCAGACAGAATTTGGTCAGAGCCAGACAGACCACAGGATGCTGAGGGGGTTCAGGGTTCGGTCAGAGCCAGACAGACCACAGGGTGCTGAGGGGGCTCGGGGACCCGGGAGTTACTCTGACTGAGAGTCTGGACTGGCTCCTGGCTCCTGGCTGGCTGAGCAGGGCCACAGAAGACGGGCTTTGCAGACGGAGGTGGAGAGCGGTGAGCAGGCCTGCTGGATGGAGGGAGCAGCTGTGCCGAGGCCTGGAGGCAGGAGCGTGCAGAGGGTGCCACGGAGACCCAGGACAGGAGACTGGACTTTGCTCTGCGGCCTCCACTTGTGCCTTTCAGTGACACCGACAGTGAAGTGGGGGGACGAAGGCCCCACACTCACCCCTCGTAACATGTTGGCAGCTCGCACTTTTTAATTCTCCTCTAGGCAGTTTGCTGACCTCCTGTTTTTTTCCCCAGCCTGGCGGACCAGGAAGCACAGGGCTCAACGTGACGTGGGCCCTGGGGCCGGAGCCCAAACTCCCTACTGGGCATCCCTTATCTCAGCTCTGGATTCGTGAGGGAGCAGCGGGAACAGTACAGACTTCTTCCCTGCCTGGGGGTCTTGATCTGGAACCTTTGAGAGTCTGTGTAGGCTGCAAGCGGCCACTCTCCCAGCACCTACCGAGTGTGGGCCACCATGCCAGGTCCTGAGATAATGTGGCAATCAAGGCAGATGCAGTGTGTGCCCTCATGGTACTCACTGGTGGCAGGGGGGCAGTCACTGGCAATAGGGAAACAAGGCCGAGCACAGTGGCTCACTCCTGCAATCCCAGCACTTTGGGAGGCCAAGACTGGAGGATTACTTGAGCCCAGGAATTTGAGTCCAGCCTGGGCAACATAACAAGACCCCCGTCTGTACAAAAAAAT